TTTTTTTAAGCATTTTTCATATTCGGCCGTGTCTGTCCCGAACGTATCAGGTACCAAATACGCGCGCCCCACGATCGCCCCAAGCTCGACGAGTAATTTCACAAGATTCCATTTCGGCGCTTATTTCGCTACGGCAACCGGAACCTAATGCGGACATAGAGCTTCTAATTTACCCGGCCATAAGAACCTGGGGCGTCCGTGTGCCAGCGGCTGACAGGTCTTCGAATTTCGATAGGGTGGTGGCTCATTGATGCGGACTCATTGATGTGGTGTACGAAGAGCTTTACGGTTATGGTGGCCATTGGCAGTTTATAGGTGTGGGATAGGTGGTGCACGCCACCCTTAATTCACCGTATAAATCATATAAGCTCCACCTATGGCGTCCGCCGAAAGCCACCATAAAAACATAGGTGCTCCACTCTTAATTTTTATTTGGGGATGAGCTTATGGACGGAGGTTTGCCCGGCTTTGGGATGGCAATGATTGTGGCTAACTGCTAGATGACAAGGATGTCGGCCTTGGCCAGGGACAGGTTGAAAAGTTCGGTGAGGTACTGGATGCCTCTGGGACTCAGATGACGGAGGTGGAGGATGGTGAGGGAGTCCGGGCCGGTGGCGGTAGCCGAGCTCCAAACTGCCTGTCTGGTTTGATCCGGAGTGAATGCGGGGGGTGTGTCGGAGAGAAGATTGCGGCGCTTGATGCCTCTGTAGGTAGACCTGCAGGAGGGGTCACGTTGGTGGTGGGGAACCAGCGTAAATTGGCGCCAGAAGGAAGAGGTCTGCAGTGACAGTTATTGATGGAAATGGGTTGGTTGGGGGCTTGACTGGCTGATTTGCCGGAGAGGGAGCGCAGGAGCGACCAGAATTTGGCTGGATTCCTCTGCAAGTTGGTGAACTGGACTTTCTTAATCCAGGTTGTGCGGGAGTGAGTGGAAATAGCGGCTGAGATATTGTTGTTGAGGTCCGGTAGGCTAGGGTGGTTGGGGTCCAGGGCTCGGGCTCTGTCACGCTCTTGAATGAGAGGGATGGCAGACGGTGGGAGGTTGGGAATGAAATCCCTTCTACATCCGCGGGGGATGTGTCGGCGGGCCGCCAAGGTGAGAATCCTTCTAAAGAGGATCTCCCCCTGGGAGCAGGAAGAGGGGGGAGCAGCAGCGCTAAAGGCGGCCTCTATCAGCGGTGTAGCCCTCCCAGTCTGCACGACGGAAGTTGATGTAGGGCGGTTGTTGGGGGGGTTCAGCGTTTTTCATCCACTGGCATAGACCCATGTACTCATTGATCACCTATGTTGTTTCCCAATTTTTCAGTGCAACTGCTGGAATAAGTTCTAGTCTTACGAGAAATACGACTACTTCGTTATGAATAGAAAGTCTTTAACTTGGTACTAATTATTATGACCCACAGTGAGATATTTACGTACTGCAGCTTGAAAACGTTTCATGATGACAAAACGTACCACACAAGGTCTTAAAAGCGAACTGGTCAAGCCAATTGTAGAGATACCACTATCCAAAGGTCATGTTACTGCACAACCTCGTAACATGAACATCTTTTTACTAAGTTGCATTGAATCATAATAAATAACGTGTTAGTCACATATAAGAACAGTTATGTTTTCTCGTAAATAAGTTGTGCATATGAAGAACCAAAATGCTAAAAAAATGTTAGTAATAGCTTCTTAACGGTGATGTGAAAACTATATGATAGCTCGATGGAAAATCTTGCAAGTTAACTTTCCAGAAAGCTCATGCATACTCTGGGACGGTGAAAACGATTTAAGAACATTACAGATTTTGGCTTGTTCAAAGCATGGAACGTTCTATATTACAGCAGCTTCACTGATGTTTCAGGGGCATTAAGGGTGGAGGCGACCACGAACGGCATCTTGAGCCACAGTGTTCCACGGTTAGATGCTGGACTGGAAGAAACTGTGGTGCTAAACATACTTCCTTGTGTGTGGGACCAAGAGCTTCTATGGGTTGCCTTAGGTGCAGCAATCAGCAGGCTGGAATGAGGTTCATCTTCCTGGGTTTCTTTACAGTCACGGCCAAACCTGAAACATGAAATGGTATGAAGATAGATAATTCAAAGTTACAAAATTAAAATATTCAGTCTAGGCAATTTGTGGGGACTCCATTCATTCATGACCTACTGCATCATGCAATAAATGTATCTTAGTATGAACAGAGATAAATTATTCTTGCAAAAGGCGGTAAAAAGAAACTAGGACGTTCACATGACAATCCCCAACTGTACAGCAATTTATGGAACAACATTATATCAAGCTAATAATGAACTTAGAATGTCTCTGAAAGTAAGGTCCCACTTGAAATTTCATACATTAGTCACCTGTACTTAAGATAAACATTAGAACAGTTTCCCATTGACTCAAATTTGGCAATATGATATTATTTGGTCATGAAGTCACTTACATAAATTAGATTGATCTACAAATCAAATGCAGAACAGAAGCAAGAATGGATTCATGACACACATTCAGATTTTTCCCAGTTGATAAGGTTGACTAGAAGGGTTTTTGCTCTAAAATGTAACGATTTCACAAGAAAATAATGTAACAATACAGTTTACACAAGACTGAAAAATATACTGTACTTATGTTTCATCACCAACACAACATGTACATCACAAAGAAAACTGTCTTCCATCTGCCACAGTAAAGACTTCAAAATTTCATCTCTACATATATATTTCTCAGTCAAAGTCTGAGAAAAGTAATAACATTTTAGCACTTATTAAGCTCCAAGTGATAAATTGTCCTAGCCGTTGATTTTGCAATTTTTTTCATACAAATTTTTCTTAAACAATCTTTTGTAGAGCAATTCGGATTCCAACATGATGGACTTATCTAGCTTTTTACCCCAAATTACGTATTATAAAAATTACTTCATGCTCTACAGACCAGTTCAAAAATTTCTCCCTGTTCATACAATATTGAACAATTGAAGTCAAGTTATTAGATATTGCCATTTGTAAAATGTAGTCTCAATGCACCATTAATGCCCAATTAAACACCCTATTAGCTATTTATTAATAAAATTGGCTGTCGTAATTCATGTAATATATTAGAACTAATGATTCAGGCAGGGTGGAATTCTAGAAATGGAAGTTCACTTATAAAAAAGCTTTCCAACCAAGGTGAAATGCTTTCCTTTGATACAGTGCTCTGCCATGTGACTGACTATAAATGGAAAGGAGGATCAAAAGTGGACAAACTGTTTCCATTGTATTATTTGTATAGTACCTCAGATTTGTTATAAAATTGTTTGATAGATATTTTCTATTTTTCTTTTATTTAATGGATTTTTTTTTAAATTATCCAGGCTTTTTGTTTGTATTGATCAAGTTTGTTAAGTATTTAGTTAACCAGTACTGTTGTACATATACCATATTTGGGGGCAGGGCTTATGGGCACAACCAATCACAGCTTGAAAGCATCCCCATCAACCAATCACAGCTAGAAAGCAGATAATATTGCAATTCCAATAACCAATCTCAGCTGGAACGTTGGAAGGGGCTAAAATCACAATCCCATCAACAAATCACAGCTGGAAAGTGATAGGTTATGTATATAATATAATGGAGTAAATGGACTGAAAGTGGAAAGTTCCTGGCCTTTCCAAGCTTTCAGGTCCTGCTTTCCAATATGCTATGTGTACTGGTTAATTTAATATCCCTCTAGAATTCCACACTGGATTCAGGTCAGTAGTCAGTACAAGAGACATAGAAGTTAGAGTGTCTTGTGTATTCTTAAATGATGCAGATATTTCAAATGTGATTCATGAATAAGTTCCATCAAAGTGAAAAATGATAATTAGAAATAGGAATACACAATATAGCCACCAAAATAATGAATCATGGTGGGATTTTGGAAATGTGAGTTCATAACTTCAAGATTGATCCAGGATATTAGCATGATAAGTTTCAAAATATTCGGTAGAAATAATGTAAAATTATACATTTTGATTTTGATATCCAATGTGATATGCTCACATTTTCATATATTAGACCCTCCCAATTTCACAAATTCCACCCTGCAGCACAATTGCAGGATGCATAAATAGGCTATTCTATTATCTAATTTAGTAATTATCATTATGGTCATTTTTTTTTGCCATCAATTATTATATCATTAATAATTTTATCACCTAGGTAATGCAATCTACTATCCAGTAATTTTCCTTAGTTTCTCAGCGCCTAACATAAACTCAAAAGTGTATTTTGATTTAATCTGTACTGTGGGCATGCAATGGCATTAGCCTTAGCCCTTACTCTTAGCCTTAGGCACCACAGTATCAAATAGCTACAAGGATTATTGAAGGATGTGATACTCACTGAAACATGTACAACATTGTAAATAAACTGAGAAGTATCAGAATAAAACTGACATAATTAATTAGTGATATGGAGAAATCAACTCACTTGACAAAACTGGGATTCGTTGAGGAGGGCTCTATTATTATAGCCTCTCAGCGTCACTGCGTCAGCAAGTCGCGGTCGGTCCCGTTTAGTTAGTTTCCAATTTATTAACACGTTTTTCTTAACTTAGTTTCGCGTTTGTTTGCGGATTTGTTTGTTGTTAACATTGACAACGAAAATTAGCCCACTTCTGATTGCTCTAGAGATCTGAAATTCGGCATGCAGGCTATTTTCGCCTAACAATTTCAGATACAATCATTAAAACTATCAAATAGAGACCTAAATTGGCTTAATTGAATAAAGTATATATATATATATATATTAGTGTAGTTAGGCAGAAGTTCTTCATTTATACAGGTTTGGTTGAAGACCAGAGCGTAAGCAATAAAATGTCATTCGGTAATCTACTTTTTGATCTCCAAGCTCCAGCTAGAAATTTTGTTCGGCTTATCGAAAAGAACAATAAGAAAATCGTAAATAAAAAGTACGCTCTGGTCTTCAACCAAACCTGTATATATATATATATATATATAGTATGACGTGCGGGCGCTGGCGTTAATGACGAGCAGGCGCTGCGTATCATCGATACGTACGTCAAGTAAATTGGCTCGCAACAACGTTTTTCATGGTTAGCAACGGACTAAAAAGGAGAAAATAAAATACTTAAAAAAACTTAAAAAACACGCTTTTCTTGTGGACTAAAAAGTAGAAAATAAATTATGGCTCGCCCCAAAAAACGTGGGTCGGGCTGTACGTTCACCGTCAAATTTCCAAAATTCGTGTGTTGTGTGCTTTTCGCTTTAATCATCAATCTGCCCGACACACGTTTTTTGGGACGAGCCATAATTTATTTTCTACTTTTTAGTCCACAAGAAAAACTTGTTTTTTTTTTAATTTTTTTTGAAGTATTTTATACTTATTTTACACGATAAAATTGCTCCTTAAGAGCTATATGCTTAGAGAGGGACTAGTTTCAGTTACTGGCGTTTATATAAGGAATTAGAGGAGGTAAATTTTTTGTAAATTGCTGTCAGACTTTATACGAAAACAACGTCTACCACGACAATATTTACATTTTGTGCCCAAAGTGACGTCACAGTCGGAACAACAAACGACATCCGCAAGGAGCAGCGTCGCGTGGGTCAACCTTGTATTAATTCAACAATGGGTATACCCCCCCCCCCCCCTTAACCGCCCGGCCTCCTCGCCGATTCTAACCAGAAACTGGGGCACAGAGCTTGGATCGAACCCGCACCTCTCTGCGCACATCTTAGTCTGAACTGTAACCACAGGGCCACCCTGCCGTGACTTAATGAATTGCAGTGACTTAATGTAATTATGGATTAATTTAATGTACGGAGAGCAGTGTAATAATGTAATAAAGGACGAATAACGTCATTTGCAGCTAATCCTAAATATTATATCACTGCATATTGTTTCTCGAGACTGGCAGTGTGAAGAGCTTCATGCTGCTGCTCCTATCGTGAACGTTGATACCAATAAAGTTGGGTGCAGTCATCACGTTTGAACTTTGGATGCTTGTCTTTGTAATACTTTCAGTAGGTTCTCCTTCATTTCAGCTACAAATTCACATGAGTACAGATCATGCTCTTTGAATTCCTCTTTATTAAAGCAAACAGCATTAAATCTGTACTCGTAGTGATGGATCAGAAGTTTGCTCTGAAGGGGGAAACATCAGTGGAGAACGGGAGGCTTAGCGTCAACAAAGACATGAAATGCTAAGTTCGTGATAAACTCTCGTTCGCATTCCAACTCACTATCATAATCTCTGACGAGATAATCGCTATTCCGTCACTGAACGACAAATTCCTTGCAGTCATTGTTAAAAATATAAATGCATAGTATTTTATAGTGCTTCAATTGTGAAATGAAGAATTTCATATCAATATTATGAATGGTTTCCTTCCATTGACTATCTTTGACGGGCACAATGGGAGCGCAGCCGTGCACCACCAATTTTGTGCACCAATAAGCCCTGACTCGAACGCCTTGGATCTCTCCGGATATCCACCAATCAGCCGTGCACCATTCGGCTTTGTCCTCCTCCGGCCTTGACCACCACCTCCCGTGCACCACCAGGCCGCGGATCGAATCTGACTTCCGGCCATCGTTAAATTACGTAATTTTACGTTCACCGCATCTGAGGTTAGGTTTCAGATAGCATAGTTCTGTTCCAAAATTTATCGTCCTTCGACAAGTTGCCGTTCGACCGAGGGCTGGTTCGACCCACAGCCTAGATACGGACGGCTTGAAGTGTTGAAGGCTACGTTCCGGAAGGCAGGAATCATGATGGTCCATTATATCCGGGGCAGTTGTGGTCTTCGGCAGGCGACCCGGGCACAATTGTCACTACTAACATGCAGAAATGGATAAAGCAAGAATATTTCATTCGCAGCAAAATCCTGTACTGCCACTTCAAAATTTCATTATTTGATGGTCCGAGCTGAGTTGATCATTCGATATTTGTAAATTATGAAGCTTTTTTAGTAAAAACCAACAGCATTAGCCTTATATAGTATATCTAGTTGTTGACTTTTAATTCCAGGATGTAACTTAAACAATTACATTCAGTTCTAGTTTATCTGTTCATTCTATGAATCTCATCTGTTAATTTTAATTGAGGTAAAGGCAGAAACAAGCATGAAATTCGAATGCTAAAAGCAACCATAAGAATCAATAGGTTATACAATTCACATGTAATTGAACGGTCGTAACTCTGGAGTGGTTGAGCGGAGTCCGCACGTCGGTCGACAGCGCGAATTATTTCATGGATAATGGGCTTCGAATTGATTCTATGGCCTTATTATGAATGGAAACAATCTACATTCGTGAGTGGTTAATTAATCTCGAATGAGTTGTGCCAAGCAGTGATGAGCTGTTTTTGAGCAGCTGAAACATCGAGATAAGACAAACTTCAGACCAATGATACTTAAATTTTGATGACTCCAGTCAATAAATAATGTCCAAAATTACTACAGATTGGAAACATAAAGTTTCGTCTTTCTAACCTTTTCCTATGAACAGACGGAAATATTTAACCACCGCTGAGAATGAAGTAACCGTACAGGATTTAGAGAGCAATATTTTATACGCTTGGTTGTCGACCTCGCTTATTTGCAATTAAAGTTGCATAAATAGATGCTCAGCTGAACGTTGCTGATAAAACAGAGAACCAAGTTTGAATTTTAATTGCGTAAAATACAAGTTCCTGCAATGCAATGAATATTTTCATGCTGATCGGATAATTACTTGGATTACATCAGGTCATGCTAATTCTTATCTTACATCAGCTCATGCTAATTCTTATCTTACATCAGCGCATGCTAATTCTTATCTTACATCAGCTCATGCTATATCTTCTCTTACATCAGCTAATGCTAATTCTTCTCTTACATCAGCTCATGCTAATTCTTAATCAGCTCAAGCTAATTCTTCTCTTACATCAGCTAATGCTAATTCTTCTCTTACATCAGCTCATGCTATATCTTCTCTTACATCAGCTAATGCTAATTCTTCTCTTACATCAGCTCATGCTAATCCTTATCTTACATCAGCTCATGCTAATTCTTTTATCTTCTCTTCTTCCCAAATTCGAAATTGAATAGATTAAATGCCTATAATCGAAGGCACACTAAACAAATGCAGGACCTTCCTTCACAAGCAGGACTAATGAGGATTATAATCAAGATCTTCTATCATAAGAAAGATCTTTATAGAAGACATCTTCATTATGGAGACTCTGGACCGTCAACTTCAAGGAATGAAAATTCTGAAGCAGGGCGGATTGACGGCTTTCCGACGGACCTCGCAGGGCGGGTTCCGGACCCGCAGTTGGGCGCGAATTTTCCACCAAATGGCTGTAGGCTGGCCTGAGCTTTGTTGGGGTGTCTGGCCATCATCGCCTGGTGGATAAAAAAATTATTGAGAGGCTGGAAGGAAATATTGCCTAATTTTTAGGGGAATAATCTTCTAAAGGCGATATGCCTTTACGTTAGTCTGAACAAGTTATGCGAGTCTGCCGTGTGGTTAAAGGAACTGTGGATCAAAAAGGTTTGAGCCTTTCTCTGAATAACTGTTCATGACAAATCATTAGTCTGATATTTGGGAACCAATAGAAATCTGCATAAAAATTTCCTACTTTTGCTGAATGATTGTAGTTGTTATTTATATTGTGCGCCTAATGCTTCATTGTCAAATTACCTCAACCCTATTTCCCAACTGAATGATCAAGGAATGTCTCTCAAACTAATGAAATTAACTCGATGAAACTTGGTACACGTATTCATTAGGACCTAACAATAATGTTTAGCTCGTGAAAATTGTTTGAATTTTGCCATTGTTTGTTTTTGTCATACTTATACGTTATATGGCAAAACGGGCCGAAATTGACAGTGATCAAGTAATTTCTTCCAAACTACCGAACAGATTCGAACGAAATTTTGAATTTGCAGTCCTAACTACCGAACGGTAGTGATTAGCTCGTGAAAAATTTTTCGATTTTGCCTTCGTTCGCGAGTTTTTTTTTTTCATTTCACCTTCATTTGTGATTTAAACAGCAATACGCGCCTAAATTCGCAGTAATCAAGAAATTTTTCCCAAACTACTGAACAGATTTGAACGAAACTTAGTATTTAAATACCTAACCTCAGCAACGATGATGTTTAGCTCGCTACAATTTTTTCGTTTTGCCTTCGTTTGCGAGTTATACGGCTTTACGTATACGGCTTTTGGTTAAACCGGCCGGTAGAGAAGCCGGTCGTTCCTCCTATATCTGTAAAACTCGCGAACGGAAGCAGAATAGAAAAATTGTCACAACCAAAAAACAACCGTGAAAAATATATGTATTTATATACAAAGTTTCGTTGAAATCTGTTCTGTAGTTTAGAAGAAATTTCTTGATCGCAGCGAATTTAAATGACAAATTACCCGGCGATACAGGCCGAAAATAAGGAAGTGTGAAATCAAGAATGACGGTGAAATGAAAAAAAAAAAAACTCGCAAACGAAGGTAAAATCGAAAAAATTTTTATAAGCTAAAAAATCACCGTTTGGTATTTAGGAATGTATATTCAAAATTTCTTTCATATCTGTTCAATAGTTAGGAAGAAATTCTTTGGTCACTGCGAATTTTGGCCTTTTCGCAATATACGCGTATAACTCACGAATGAAGGTGAAATTAAATAAAGTACGAGCTAAACATCACCGTGAGGTTTTGATGAATACATGTTCCAAGTTTCATAGAGCTGCGTTGATTAGTTTGGGAGATATTACTTGATAATTGAATTTGGAGATTGGTCGTGAGACCGGCCACGAGTCCGGCCGTAAATTCGCCCGAGAGGTCCTTTTAGGTTTCTAGTGCTGAAACAGTTGAAACAGCTGAAAAACATATTGGTTCACTAAATGGGGTTCTATTTGTGAAATACAAATTTGTGTTTTACCCTTTCTTTCAAAATTGCAGCGCACTAGATTTCAAGAAAGATGCGTATGTCTGTGGGGGGCGCTAGAAATTCACTAGGGAGCCAAAGGGGGCGCCAGCCTGAAAAAGTTTGGGAACCACTGACGTATTCGAAGAAAAATTTACTTATGATCATTTTTCAAAATTTTGAATAATGAGGGAACGAATATAGTAGTTGACAGAAATTTGTCAAAAATTTTCATTTTGCTAAAATTAATTTGCAGATTGTAAAATTTTATACGCAAGTGAAAACGTAAAGTAACTGATTTAAAGGTATACTAAAGTGAACATGTAAATTACTGAAATTTAATAGCTGTTGATACTCCCGTGCATAAAAAAAGTACACTCGCACAGAAATGTGGAAAGAGCATAAATTTTGGTGTCTGAAACACAACTGTCATTTAATTGCCTATTGTTTCAATTCATGAGACTGGCAAGTGGAGATTCTATGCATGACCTCATAATAATTAACGATCATCACATGCCTTTTTATTTTAAGGGCTTAAAAAGATAACGCACGTGAAAATACTAGGCGCACTCCTGTAATCTATCAACATTTAAACTCCATATATCAAGCTTTCCCCGGTCATTCTTTTGTACAGCGTAAAGCCTCACACAATACGGATGTTAAAATATTAAGTTCCTCTAAAGTTACCCCGATAGGTTATAGCACTCACTTCGCACTTTTTGCTGGCAGCATCCAACTTCGCTTTGAATTCGAGTAGCTTGGTAGTAGTATCTACAGGTTTCAATTTCAGACGGCTGAGAATTTCCTTGCACTTTCGTCTCTTGTTCTCATCCATATCGATGACTGAGAACACGTCCCAGGACTCAAGGTCTTGTTCTATAGGTCCTTTCTGGATCTCCAGCGAATCCTTCCATCTTCCCAAGTCAGTATTTAGGTTCATGACTTCATCGATCCAACTCAATATTTCGTTAACTGGCCATAGTTTCTTGCAAATATTGGTCCGTACCGCGGCTCTGGCGTAACCAACTTCATTTCCCTGAGGCAGATCGTCCACCAACTCAATTGTATGTTTGGCATGTGCCACTTTGAAGCACCTGAAGCACACGAGTTTCATGCAATCCACGCAGAGGTAATCCTGCGTCTTGTGGTGCAGGGAACACATCGCCTCAGGTTGAGAACTCGAGTGCAGGGAACACATCGCCTCAGGTTGAGAACTCGAGGCCCGTTCAGATTTGTCCCCAGAAGGGATCAACGCATATATAACTAACATATCACCGATGGGTTGGCTTGTTTGCTTTTTGCATTTAGGACAGTTTCTGGCCCCAGAAACATTTGGTAAGCTTGAGATACAGGAGAAGCAAAACGTGTGGCCGCAATTGCCAGACACAACGGCTTGTGGTTGCCCGAGTCGTATTCTTCGAAACAAACTTCACACTCCAACTTGACGGAAGCCACGTCGCGGTGTTGGAATTTTCGTTTGTTATCCATTCAATCTAGGTCAATTCAACGCTTCTGACACTTAAAGCAATCCAGTTGGAGTTGGTGCACAATCTGGTGGACAAGTTTGAGTGTAAGCAAGATAAACCATGCCGAAAGCATACCCTGTTCAGTCCCTCTTTGTGCAGGTCAATTATGACTTCTTCAACTTCGCAAATTAACTTAAGCTTTAGCAAAATCAAAAGCAACTTCAACATAACTAATGAAGCTTGCGAGTAATAATACTTTTAATGCAATTACTGCATGATGTTACATGCTTTTAGTTATACAAAACTAAAAGCAGCTTATCAAGCTGTTAAATAATAAGCTACAAAAATATTCATTTGAGAAATATCCTTTCAAATCCAGATATTCACGCTATTTCCATTTAACTGCCATTTCGAACTTCGGAGTGCATTTTTATTTTATGTCAAAATGTACCAGATTAAAATATGACGGGTGTTCAAAATTGAATATTTTGAACCTCCATTCTGCAATACTTCAGGATTCTCCCACCATGCCACCTAAAGTACAATGTCAACTCTAGGCAATATCTCGACAGGCTTACAACACACAATAGCTTCTGTATATTGCGGCACTAGGCTTACAACACACAATAGCTTCTGTATATTGCGGCACTAGGCTTACAACACACAATAGCTCTTGTATATTGCGGCGTCAGGTAATTTGTTGCGGCGAAAATGAGAAATTTGCTAATAAATATCGAATTTTGTTCTGTTTTGGCCTTTTTAAACGAATTTGGTCGCTATTTGCCATCAGCTGGCAACCTTGGTCAACAGTCAACATCCGTCGTCAAGGCCGAGTTGTCGCGGAGTCGTGCGTCCGTTGTTCAAATTTTTTTTTCAAACCGTTGGCCACACAGTAAAATCTTTGATGTTCGAAATCATATCACATTCGAAATTCTGTTCTATGAAAATAACTATTACATAGCCATAACGTTAATTTCTTCGCAAACTCACAAGTAGTACAAGTTGCTTTTGTAGGCTCACTTACACACACATCCTCTCACCAGGAGCGCGCGCACTGCACTGAGCAGTGAGGGAGTGAGCTGAGCACTGAGCAGGGCTCCCAGCAGTGTTGCCAGATGGAGCCAAGAGAAAAAGGCCAATTTAGCTCACAAAAAAAGCCACAAAAGGCCCCATTTCAAATTAATAAGAAGAAATTTTTTAATTTCAGGTAGTTCTAACCATTTGCAGTGCATGCATTTACTCTCAAGACTTAGATAGCAAAAAATACACAAATTTCACCAAATGTACGAGCTGAATTACCGTCAATGCTACATAAGCCGCCAGTTTGCAGCGAAGTGCACGTTACTCGCCGACCGTAAATAAAACCGTATAACACAGGTCAGAACTATGATATTTGAGATTCGATTGCCACCTAACTACTATAAAGCTTTTCGATCGCGCTAGGGAGTTTTGGCTCAGTTTTGCAAACAAAATAGATAGTGGAATGGCCGGCGACATTAGTGATGTGGCGAAGTTTTTGGCATTGACGGTAGAATATTTATACCTACCCAGAAATAAAAATAAATTTAAACTCATTTCAGCGGTATAAAGATGATGTGGTCCTTGCAAGACTAAGGTAAATATTAATAGTCAATCCTATAAATTTATCACAACTTTCGAATGCGTGGAAAAAAAAGATTGCCTATCATAATTCGGAGTGGAATAGTTATTATATTCATTCAAAGTGAAATTTGGTAGTGACTCACACCAGAAGGCTGAATGTATGGAAAAACAGCGCTGTCTTTAAAAATTAGAGCTGAATTTACTACTCTCCAGAAATGGAAACTATACTCGATTATACGCGCTCTCAGCTCTGTTATCCATGGTTATGAGTTCGACGTCTCGGACAAATTTACGGCCTGACCCGCGGCGGTCTCGCGGCCGGACTCCAAAATCAGTGAGCATAGAATTTCTCCCAAACTACTTTTAAAAGATAAATTCAATGGTGAGGGTCTACACAGGTTAGGTCAAGTCCGGTCAAGTTCTCACTCATTTTGGAGTCCGGCCGTAAATTTGTCCGAGACCTTGAATTCGGATCGGTAACTGGATATAGTCCTGTGGTTCAACCAAAGTATTGCCCGGATTAGGAGGCACTCGCCAGTGTTGCCGACACAATTACGTGTCGAAATTTGGGTGTACTCGTCTTGTACAAAATTGAAGGACCAAATTATTACCGAAAAAGTCGAGATTTAAATTTTTCATGAAAAAAAGGCCACAAACGGACAAAAAGCCAAATGAAATTTTTCAGGCCAATGCATTTCAAAAAAGGCCACATTTGAGAAATATGGCCTGGAAAATGCCCATCTGGCAACACTGGCTCCCAGCCAATAATTTGAGAAAAACTTAGATGGTTGCTGAAAAACACCCAGATTCTGCAGATTTTGTGGGAAAATACCCAGACAACAAATTTAATCAAAAACATTGTAATTTTACTTGCTTCTGATGGAATCATAAGTATTCGGCTGCTGCTAAATTGATGTTCTCTCTTTTTGTTTAGGACGCTGATCGTAAGATTCATATCGTATAGATAGCAGGTTCCATCTACAACGTCTTTCACCAACTATTGTTTCGGCTTTCATGTGTAGCAATTCTGTTGCTTCCTCGCAAGAAACTGCCGTGCTAATAGTCTTTCTGTCACTGTCTCAGTTTTGGGAGAGTTTGTTTGCTTCGTTTTAACGTGGTTAACGATCGAAAAAATCCTTTCAACACAAGCGGATGAGTGAGGCAATATAGTTAGATTTATCATAAAACTAGACAGAGTTCCAAACTTTGGTCGATTAATCCCGTCTTTAATGTTACGCAGTGAATGCCAAAAGCCAGGGACTGAAGTGTAGTTTAAAGATACATCGCTAAACTGTCGAAAGAGCCTCCATTCATAACATAACATAACATAGTGATGTCGGCGCTGAAGTGTAGGCCTGATGTGGCCTGTCGCCGATTCTTTTCCTTTTCGTGCCTTGTTCATTCGACTATCTTTTTTATTTTCTGTCCAGCCATTATTAAATTATTAAATGCACGAACTAGTTCTCTTGAACGGAGAAAAGGACGGAGAAAAATACAGAAAATGACGGAGAAACATACAAAACTGAGTTGAGTTGAGTATAGTAAAGTTCCCTCGAAAATTCCGCTTGAGGAACAGCTGAGCTGCAGCTGCCCAGGGAAATGCAAGAGCTAGATAAACACAAGTTAAAAAACCGAAATCAAGTTGAGTAAAATTTGTACAAATTGTTAGATGGTTCAAAATTGTTAGACTTGAGAGCAAGCGGCTAGGCAGAGGTAGGCGCGAGAACAAAGGCTCATTGTCCCGCGTGGGCCAGGGCGTGGGCGTTACCCTCTCGCGGCAACCCTCACTGACTCTACAAGTTCGCGTTATTTAAAAATGAAAACACTTTCACTTGTTTGGCTTGTTCATTCTATTTGTACTCACTTTTACTGACTTCACTGAACTGAACTGAAATTCGGTTATTCTCTGGCACGGATCATAAAAAAATGCGAAAAGAGTTCCGAAAACGGCACAGTAAAAAGTTAAAAATTTAGAAATTTGGGACCAAGACCAAACTCGACCATCGTCGAGTTAGTCGAGAACATGCTCAGGAACAAGATGGGGAAAATTCTGAGCTACGTTGCCTATGAAACTGGGAGATTTTGTGATATCTCTTGAGGCAGCGGGATCTAATATTTGTAAATTTGCAACAATGCCATCTTCTTCTAATGGGAATCTTATTTTGATTTGTAAGCACAACGCTACTAAGAAATTCAAACAATCCGTTTTAAATCTAACGTCATTTTCCCCTATTGGAAGTAAGGATAACTCTCTCATGCAACGTCCACCCAAATGCAAATCGTTAACATGCTTATGTAATGATTTGTCACTTGGATCAATATCTGAAGCTCTTGTGGATTGAACTGCCTCTTCTCTGATGAAATAACTCAAAATGTTCTTGTATTCAGAATACACCATAGAATGTAACACGTGAAGTCTGAAATTTTCTGGTAGAAACTTAATGTTCAAAACGATCAATGTTCAAAGGTACCAAAGAAACATGTTGTAAGCTCAACTCAACTTAACGCACGACACAACTATAACTTGTCACGAGTGTTAACTGAGCATCCACGAGAGCAGGTTGTGTGGTGCCTAAGAGCTCTTCGATTGCTTGTTGTTTGCTTTGTAGCCTTGCACGTACGTTACCCCATTCTCTCTTCTCGTTCTTGCTGACGCAGTGATTTTATTATTGACACGTCTTTCTACTGAGTGTGCTCGTTATTCTTTTGCGGCGTGCCACTTGCTTGACTAGTTGCACGTAGTATTCGATCCAGCATAAGCGTAATTTTGATTGTAGCCACAGCAGCCGTTCCGTCTTGGTTTTCGCTTAACCTCATGGAAACGGCCGAGGGATGGAGGGGAGAGGACGTCGGTGCCTGAGTTGCTCGACTGTTAACAACAAGAAGAGGACAGTTAGTTGTTCTTCGTGTGAGGGATGTTACCATCTCTCATGCGTAGGGCTGACTAGAGCACAGGCAGACACCTTCGGGCGTTGGCTGTGCCCGGGTTGCTTGGGTAGAGCCAGTGTCGGTATAACAGAAAAACCCGTAGATTCCGACTTCTTGGGGTATGTTTCTCGGTGTTGTGCCAATGGTAGAGCACTGAAAAGGGTGCCCCGGGGAGCTGTGGTCTGCGCAGCAGATGCTCTGCAGAAACTGCTGGAGGCGGCGTTAAGTGAAGACAGTACTCCATTAGCATGGGGTAGATTGCTGTCATTTGGGTGGATCGCGCTGCGGCAGCCGGAGAGCAGCGGTTCGTCTCACTCACTAATCACAGTAGTCAAGAGGCAGATTCGAGCATTTATTGAATCTGACCATCTGGTGGCTCCGGA